CTTGGCTCTTGTTTTTCGCTTAATTAATTGAATAATATTATCGTTTCCCGAGAAGGAGGGAATTTTATTGTTATAAAATCGCGTATTAACATTCTTCGAATTTGGGGAAAGTTCGAATGCAATTCGAAGATGACTCGAGAAGAGATTGCGATTTATAATCTTTTAAAGATATCTCATAAATCAATCTTACAAAAGATTAATTAAAAAAGGGCTGTGCTTTTTTTTAAATATTTTTCTAAATTATCATTTATTGTTTATATCTCCGATAGATATTTCACAAACTATACTTTTTTTTTCAGGTAGTAGATGTAAATCAGTTCAATTAATAAGATGAAGATTAATAATGATTGAGACGATAATTGTATGCCGATATAATTAAAATTTACGACAAGGTTGTAACGTCATCAATCTTTCTCAGAACTTTAAACGCGCTATAGATGTGCATAATAGAAAAAGAAAAATACAGGTTTTTTGTATAAAATGCAATGAATAGCAGGTGATATTTTTTATTCTTTTTATTTTTTTTTTTTTTTTAAACGCTTTAAAGGTGTCGCTTTTGAATCTCAGGTCAGGTTTCATGAATGATCGCTTGACAGTCTCTCCAATTGATCGCTTTGCTCGAAACGCGATTACCGAACCGCGCGTTTCAATACACAAAAAACCCCACTCTCCCTCTCATTCTAATTATTCGACACGCTTCCACAGTAACGCGACTACAGATACGCGGTCCATTTTTCTCGAAACGAGATTTTGCATTCATTCCGTCATGTTTTTTTTGAACTCTGCGAAAATTCGAAGAACGATTGTGAATAATAATCTTTGACATACATCAGCTGAAAGCGAGACTTCGGTTCGAGAGCCGACGATTTAAGTAAGATGGTCGAGATAGTTCCGCGCTTCGAGACGACGACGATGACGATAACGTGATGCGACAAGTGTCTCTGATTTTCTCGAGTGACGCAGCCACTTTCGTGCTCGGGGAAGTCTCGAAAGTAGGTACAAGTCTCGAAAGCTAAGTCGCACTATTTGTAAATCGTGAAACTCCTTGCAATCGCGAGCAATAATTCTCGTCGCATTTTGCGTTCTCTCTCTCTCTCTCTTTCTCTTATCTGTCGCGATACACACATGAGTGTTGAGAATTGTTGAATGATAGAATCAGGGTAAAGTTCCCATTTCGAACTGTTCGAACATCTGTTTTCCAGTCGAGAAATGTTTGACGTTTGTATCTCTTTGTAAAAATGCAATATTTTTTTTTTTAATATGAGAAAAATTTTGCCGGTTTAATCGGGATTTGATCGCTTTTTTCAATACAATTTGATTATATATAATATAATATTATATAATATAATTTACAATATACGATAGAAAGAAGATTGGGTAAATAGGATGCCTCTTTTAACGTCGATATCTTGCGAGATTTTATTATGAAACTTTATAGATGTTTGTGGCACAAGTCGTAAATAATGAAAAAAAAAAATGTCAAAAATATATGCATGATAAGTCCCTGTAAATTACGAGCTAATTAAAGTCGTTGCCTTTTCGCGATGCAATTGAAAAATGTTTTTTCTTTAAGTCAAAGTTCAGACACGCGCCTTTCACATAAGAGATTTCTTTACTTGGAAATGTTTGCGTTCATCATCGATTGTAACCAGAGTACTAAAATTTGATTTATAAAAATAGATACTTTACATATATCACGTTTAAGTGTACATGCTTCAGATTCTGCGAAATGTTTGCGAAAAAAATGAGAAGATTAAAAGATTACGATCTTGAGAGATCGGATGTAACGCGTGTTGCGAGAACATTAGTTTGTGTAAATTCCACGCTAATTAACGCGCGCGCAAGAGAGATAGATATTAGCATACGTGATTCAAACATTTAGGATGCGAATACGAGAATCTGTTTTCCCGATTGAATTTATTCTTGCTAATTAATACGTGTCACGTGACTTTGGGAGGAGGCGCGTTCCGACGTCGTTCGGGATCCTGTTTCTCGATCTCTCTCTCTCTCTCTCTCTCTCTCTCTCTCGCCGATTTACTTTTATCGCGCACATATATTTCTTTTGTGTCTCAAGATCACAAAGTCACTGACAATTCTCGGCTTTGCACATTAATCGAATCTGCCGATCGTTTCTATATTCGATCGAGATTCTGTGTATACGTTACTTAATTGCTGAATCCGATCGCCAATGGCAACTTGAAAATTAGATCGACTTTCATGACACGTGCTTTCGAGGCTAATTTTTCCAATTGCCCAATTGACTTTCCGTTATCGGCAAACGGGATTTTAACCGTGTCGATTTTGCTCGCGATTCTCTCCTTGTTCCTTCGGTGATTTTTGGAATTTTTATTAAATTGCTCAAAGAAACCTAAGAATCTATTTCCGATCAAGAGCGATAATATTGATTTATGATAATAATAATTTGATTTTTCATCGTCATACGCCCCCTTATAATTGGATAAAGGCTGTCGTTGTGTATTTCGATAGCGAAGAATATAGGAAAAATTAAAGAAGTATCTGGTGGTTTTAAGGATACTTTATTTTTTTCTAAATACCATCAACTTTCTTCGATAGCGAAGAATATAGGAAAAATTAAAGAAGTATCTGGTGGTTTTAAGGATACTTTATTTTCTAAATACCATCAACTTTTCTTCGCGATTTTTTAAATCGATTAATGAATTGCATCGCAAATACGTAGCATCTTGTTTCTCGAAACCGCTTCGACCGCTTAAAAACAATGCAAGGCTGATGATTCTTGAACTAAACCGCGCTCGCGAACAACTTTCCCGGTTTTATGCAAAATTCTGTCGCAATCCTTTGTCTGGCAACCCGACAACTATCACGTTCGGTCTCGAGGTTGCCTGCACAGCACTTTAGGTAACTGTCGATAACACGATAATTACACAAGAGCGCAGAAGACGATTAGCAATTACAATTATTATTGAAGCCTCTTATTCCTCGCCGAGCGGTTGCCGATCTACGGCGATCTCTCGGTGAGAACAGCAGCCCACCTCGGTGAAAGAATCGATTTGAAAGAAGGTCTTTTGTTTTCCGTCTGCAGGAACATGATGGTGCTACGCGTCCACGGCGACGACCTGATGTTCGGTGGCGGCGGCGGTGGCGGAGGTGGTAACAGTGTGATAACGCATTCGCCGCGCATACCGCAAATGGAGATGATGAAGGTCCACATCCCCTTCACCTTCAAGCTCCACGAGAGCTTCAAGAGCACGTACGCTGGTAAGTCCTCTCCCCTTCTTACGCTTCCTCCTCGTCGCCGAGCTTGATCCTCGACTGGGTCAACCCCTGGGTGATTTACAAACGTTTGCTTTTGGCATGCAATGTGTCGCAAGACATTGCTGCGTCTTGTAACAGACTTTATCATCTGGCTATAAAGACTACATAAGTCGCGAAACGCAGTTTGGAATGAAATGTCATCGCGAATGAATCGTACGCGACAAGATGAATTAATTTCGATTTTTTGCGTTTGCGTTGATCGATCTCAAAACTACAAACGATACGGAGAAGTAATTTTCAATGATATCTGGTGATCTTTCAGTGCTACGTGCCACGTTGTATCCTTTGCGTACAAGATAGATTTTTAAATGTCTTTTGATGTAAACGTATTTGCCGCGATTATCAAAGCTCTGTTGTCCTTTACAATTTTATAAGTTAGAAATTAGATTTTGCGATATAATTTGTGATTTATAAACGCGGGTTTTTTTTTCGAATAGCGACTTACGTAGACGAGCTTTAACGCGTTACAAGGGTTGCGTTCGGCAAAACTGTGCCAGGAAAATCGTCGATCGCATAAAATATATAATGAAAAGAAGATATGTAATTAGGACATAAAAAACCGCGATATTTCTTTCTTTCTTTCTTTCTTCTTTCATATATTTTGAAAAATGTCTACTCTCTGGAAAAATTTAGAATTTTCAGGGATTTCTTCCTATCTAAAAAAATCAAGGAATTTTTATAAAATTTTATTTTTTTTTTAATTTATACAATAATTTTATATATATAAGTGGCTCTTTATTTTTTCTTTGTACGAGTATAAAAAACATACGATAAGAGAACTGATTTAAAAAGTTGCATTTAAAAAATCTGCAACTTTACCTGGTATTTTTAACAAAAATAGTTGGAAAATCAAAGAATTTTCTTACAAAATTTGTATAGATATCCCGATCTTTTTTGTATTATTTTAAAGTAAAAATTCTACGGATTATATCTATATTGTGAAAAAGATTACAGACACAGTTGTATAATGAATTTCTAGAGAATCTTGGTTTCGCATGCGCTAAAAAGGTTAAATTTTTTTTATCGGTATGCTTTTCCGTATAATATTCGCTACGATGATTCTCCCCGATTTCGTCATTCGAGCAATCGCACACGACCATAATTAGGTAATAAAGTTTCTAGGAAATGTTAGTTTGCGTAAAAAAAAAGAAATTGGCGAAGATCGACCCAGGCAAGTCTGGTAGGTCAAGAGTTAATCGGCCAAAAGAAGAGAGAGAAGGAGAGAAAGAGACTGGTCCACAATCCTGTGTGTCGATCGGCTAACTCGTGGCGGAAAGTGGGTTATCTCGATAGATCGTGCGTAAGAAGAAAAAGACGAGAGCGTCGCGTGTAATTGGCATGCCAGGTGCCAGCAGCGACGGAGGTCCACAGCTTGAATTACGAAACGCCACCTTGACCGCGTGTCGTTTGTATCGTTGGGTCATCGCGCGCGAGTCGCTTGACTTTTATCAACCATTGATCACTCGACGATATCCTTTGCCGAGAGTCTTCTCAGACTCATCCTTTTTTATCTCTCCTCTCCTCCTTTTTTTGGTAAAGTTTGCGAGTTGCAATATGTCGAGATTCTTAATTGGTTTATTGTCGCACCATTCTAATAAGCACTTGATTATACACGTATGTGTGATAAAATATAATTTTCTATATTTTATAAAATAAATAGGTATGTATATAAAGAAGACTTATCGAACATTTATCACATGATTATTAGACATCTTTCTTTTTCTATTTATTTGATGGAAATTGCGTTATAGATTTGCATGTTCTTTTCATTTCATCAATTTTTGCTTTGATTTATAATGCATTTTGAACGTTACGCTTTTTCATATATTTTTGCGCGCGCGATCTTGTAAAAATATTATATAATATTTATTTTTTATACATAAAATATTAATCACGTGCGGCGCGTGCGGCATGAATGGAAAGTTACTAAAAATCGGTTGGATACAGAACGTGTTAAACATGACTTAATATTCCACTCGAATTTTATGTATACATTTTTCTCTTTCGTCTATTTTTATATATTAACGAACAAAAAAAAGTCGAATGAAAGATGCGTTGTAGAAGAGATTTATAAAAGGATTAATATTATCGAATCGTCTGTCGTGTCATCGGAAAAGAAAATACCCGAAGCTTTCATCAGATCACGCAAAAAAAAAAAAAAAATGAGACTACCGAAGAGAGAGAACTTTATCGCGTAACCCTCAGAGTCTTACACGGTCGCCCACGAGAACAGAATTCGAAAACATCGATCGCCCTTGATTTCGAGGCGCGATGCTCGATTCTGTAAAAGACAACGCGTGCGGTTGTCGGAGAAAAATGCTTCGATTACGCGGTCAGATGATAGATATATGCGTGACAAATCTGAGAATCGACAATTCGTTGAAATTCTCAAGTACGATACGTTCTCGCAAGTTTTGATACTGTTTCTCCTCGTTGCGGGATCCTTCTTCTTATATTCATTCTGGAATAATTTGACTGTAAAGGTCCAGCCTACTCTAACAGTATGAAAAATTAATTTTTAAAAATTTGTTTTGGAGAATATTACAAATGAATCTTTTTGGTGTTTTACATATGTTTTGATTGATGTTTAAATAGTACGTCAATATTTTTAAATTTTGGATATTTATCTTTTTTTTTTGTTCAATACGAGTCTCTGCGCGTAACATGTTAAAAAAATGTGTAGTTCAACGGTGTGACATGCTGCTTCTCGTGTAATTATCTGAAAAAGAAATTCGATCTAATTTTATTCCGTAGAATATTTTTGGGATATTGAACTTAATCTCATTAAAAAAAATTAAAAAATAACAAACTAGTATCATTTTAAAATAAATATATATTTTTTTTTTAATTTTTATTAGGTTTTATCCAGTATCCTAAAAATACCTTATGGAATAAAACTAGTTTTTTCATTTCAGACAATTACACGAGGAGCAGCATATCACACCGTCATTGTTAAACACGCTAATTGTAAGCGCAAAGGCTCGCGTAAACAAAAAAAAAAGAACTACATCCAAAATTTATACATACTGACATACTGTTGAAACATCAATAAAAAAATGTGTAAAATTTCAAAAAGATTCATTTTTTAATATTGTCCAAAAAAATTTCCTAAAAATCATCAATTTTTTATACTAGATGATAGATATATGCGTGACAAATCTGAGAATCGACAATTCGTTGAAATTCTCAAGTACGATACGTTCTCGCAAGTTTTGATACTGTTTCTCCTCGTTGCGGGATCCTTCTTCTTATATTCATTCTGGAATAATTTGACTGTAAAGGTCCAGCCTACTCTAACAGTATGAAAAATTAATTTTTAAAAATTTGTTTTGGAGAATATTACAAATGAATCTTTTTGGTGTTTTACATATGTTTTGATTGATGTTTAAATAGTACGTCAATATTTTTAAATTTTGGATATTTATCTTTTTTTTTTGTTCAATACGAGTCTCTGCGCGTAACATGTTAAAAAAATGTGTAGTTCAACGGTGTGACATGCTGCTTCTCGTGTAATTATCTGAAAAAGAAATTCGATCTAATTTTATTCCGTAGAATATTTTTGGGATATTGAACTTAATCTCATTAAAAAAAATTAAAAAATAACAAACTAGTATCATTTTAAAATAAATATATATATTTTTTTAATTTTTATTAGGTTTTATCCAGTATCCTAAAAATACCTTATGGAATAAAACTAGTTTTTTCATTTCAGACAATTACACGAGGAGCAGCATATCACACCGTCATTGTTAAACACGCTAATTGTAAGCGCAAAGGCTCGCGTAAACAAAAAGAAAAGAACTACATCCAAAATTTATACATACTGACATACTGTTGAAACATCAATAAAAAAATGTGTAAAATTTCAAAAAGATTCATTTTTTAATATTGTCCAAAAAAATTTCCTAAAAATCATCAATTTTTTATACTGCTAGAGTAAGACTGGGCCCATAATTCCGACTTTAACTTTAAAGAGGCATTAGAACAAAAATAATGATCCTTTTCCGTTTCTCGATAATTCTTTTTAAATATCGGGCCTTTTATCTTTTTCAAAAATTCGATATTACTTTCTAGACAACTCGGCATACCGCGGACTAAGTTTGATGTGTCGTCGGTTCTCTCTGGTATGGTAAATATATATGTATTGTGCGTGTATGTTTGTGTGTGTGTCTGTACAACGTAACGCTGGCGCATAACCCGACGCAAGTTATATGCAGGTTGCGTAATTGCGTGCGCGTGTCGCAACTGCAGGTCCCCCCGAGATCTTCTCTCTCGCACGCGCGATTCAATCGCCGCTATTGCCGTCTTTCGCAATTCGTGCGATTTCGCGATCCCGGAGAGAGAATAATCGGTCCGTAAAGTACGGGAGATCGTCAAATACGTCGGCATCTCGTCGTTCGAGATGTCGCGAAACGTCGTCGTTTGCGAAACGCAGTCGCCGCGCCGCTTAAACTTGACATTAAGGTTCACTCTTGCGAAATCGTGAGAACGTCGTCGTCGGTACGCTAACAGAAATTTGCGGAACGTAAATCTCGTCATGTGCACAAAAATATGTTTTTTCTCTTCTTTTTTTTTTTTCGATTGCGTATCCGATTTGCATAGGTGTGAATTAATTCGAACGATCGAGGAAATTGCATATCGCCACGCGGAATGATTTATTCACGTTGAAAGAGAAGACAAATTGTGCTCTTTTCACGAGCCATATATTATGGTCATTAACAAAATCAGGTTTGTAAATCTCGGTGATGTCTAATTTTTCATTTTTTTTTACGGCAACATTATCTTGGAGTGACGAGTGATAAAGAAATCGATATTATTTCCACGATGTTT